CTTTTTTGGTAATGTCCTTTTGCTGTAAATATATGAACCTGCTCCCTATCATTGCATTGTCTAGTAACACTAAGAGAGTACGTAACTATTACAAATTTTCTATTATTCTATTACAAATTCACCCATTCGTTCTTCAATCAGTCAACCTCAACAGGAACAATGTGTGTTTTAGCGACGTTCTCCTTTGTCAGTGTCCAGACGATTGAATTTTATCTACAACATTTTGTCTTCAAGTTGTAGGAAGCAACGAGGAATACTTTGATCGAACGTCTTGTGGTACCTTCTTCTTCTTCTTTTTTATAAATCATCTTTGAGCTTTTTTCTCAAATTTGAATTACTCCTAACATATTCCTTTTCTTTTTTATTCGTATAATTTGTACTTTACAATTTGTCCACTTGAACATCTGATAAATTTGTCTAACTTTATTGCTAAATAACATGTGAATACCATCTTTGAGTTTGTCTATTTTATCTCTTCAGTGAGATGTTTTCTTTTTAGTCTTCTTTTTATATGCGTTTTGCTCGTTCCAGTAGCCAGCTGGTTTGCATCATTTCCTTGTATTTTTTTCCATATCAACTGATACATATTCGTAAAAGGAGATTCTGTAATAATCAGTGTTGGAATATTCTCGTTAACGATCGCGCGTCGCTGGCCAAAAATGTGTCAAACCCGATGCCGTCATTAGCCAAAATCCTACCGATCGTTCGTTTGGAAGCTGAACTCGTGGTGTTTGACTTGTAGAGGTCATCGGGCTACAGTTGGCCCGTTTGCCCAAGACTCATCGGCCGACAGTGGCTATTTTCGTAACCCCTAGAGGGCAAACGAAGGAAGCAGAAGGAAACCGACACTTTCAGGCCAAGTTGGATAATAATGGGAACGGAGTTGGCTCTCGTTTATCTTCAGTGGAAGCGGGCAGTTTCGAATTCCTGCTGAATTCACCCTAATCACCCGAGTCTTGGCCACGTTCTGCAAGAAAAATAATCTTCCCTTTTCGAGGAAAAACTTACTGAGTGAAACGTTGATTCAAGCGTTGAAATGAAATAAAAAGCAGTCTATTCCTTTACGGTGAAGTAATTAAGCCGGTGTTCTAGTATTTTCCAGTCTCTTACGTATCTCCTTTCCTTTTTATCAGCCTGCTGTGTAACCATTTTCATCGGTGCTTTGGTACAGCTGTTAAGGTAAAGAAAGAATTCGGCAATACAAATAGTTTACTTTATTTCACACGCAACAGCTATACATATATATTACACTCTGAAGTGTACACTCCTCGATAACCTTCTTGCACGCACGCTTGTTCTCAACCGACTCTTCCAGATTCTTCTAACATCTGGCAACAGTCTTTTGTCTCCACTAAGCCTGCACGCCCTCTAACGCTTACACACACATTCACATGTACAGTGTAAATGAATCATCTACCCAACAACAGCATCGTTTAAACGTTGGCAAAAAAGCGTGAGAACAGCTTCAGAATGTCAAACGTCTGTCCGTCGCGAACTGACCGAAGGCGAGAAAGAATTTTAACGTCTAATAAGGGAAGAATATTTTAATTTATTTAATTCTCCATCAAAATTACTGAGCGTGACGAATCGTTGCTTTGCCAGCATCTGGATTCTCGACATCACGGGATTATAAGGTTCTTGCTTTCGTACGATCGAACTCAATAACTCGAAGATAAACGATAATAAGGATTTCTTCAACTTTCTTTCTATGACGGCGCACGGTTTTCATGAACCATGAAGAACCATGAAGAAGGTTCAACGGAAGTGTAGCGAGTGCTTGCGAATAGCTGAACTTTCGTCGAATTATTCCTGAATTGGGAGGATGAAAAATAGCGGAGTTTCCGTGGAAAAGTCTTCTTCTATGCATAGTCGCGAACTTTCACGAGGACTGGACAGTTGCAGATAGCAACCTGTCTTATCGACGACGTCTTCGGCCGCTACTCGCCGTTTAAACTTTCTACTTGAAAGTAGCTTTCTTCCTGCTGAATTCTCAGCGCTTCTTCCGTGCTACCGATATACAGGGTGGTACAGATATCCCAACCAAATGGCATCACCTAAATACAATTCCGTTCATATTCCGCACAGTAACACCACTTTCTACCAGTTTCTTGCTTATTTACATATCGCGTTGCTTCTTCTCCTCCGTAGCTCGAAAATACGTAAATTGTTCCTGTGTGTTGGAATTTTCCAGCGATAAAATCTGCACGATACTTCGGCTCGCTCCAAAGTCTTTGTTTCCGCGGCTCTGTTTGGTTACTGGTGGTCCTAAGAACTTCGAGTCAGTCGACAGACGGCCGTTGGCTGATTCTGCTGCCACGGAGCTCGAAACGGTGCCGAATGTAACACTTAACATTTTACCGACCAATAGCCGATTAATCGGTTTTGTCGCCGACACTTACCGACCCGATAGCCGATTAATAGGCTTTTTATCACCGACAATCTTTCTCATTATTTGAGCAGTAATTTGTTATTTAGTACTATGGTACCTTGCTCAGTTGCATCAGAAAGAAATTTGGAGAGTCTAAACCGAAACAGAGCTGGCGCCAGGGAAAATCTGCGCTTGAGCTGCCGGTCAAACGTGCGTATGCTGTTGAACCGGTAGCGGTCGGTAAAGTGTTATTTTAGTGTCGCTAGCAACGACATATTCGCTTCTAAGTTTCGGCTAAATAAAACATCAAAAATACAAACGACATATCGTCGTTAGGTACAGTTGCGAAAACGATATCGACAGGAAGTTTGGGTTTATGGTAACAGTTATTTAGGATAATGGTGCTTGATAACTGTTTCAAAAATCGCAGTCCATGTCATCGTATTTGTTTTCAGTGCCTAGCTGATTCGACCACAGCTAAGTAACACGAAGCGTAGTTTCAAACGACAGTTACACAAAGCAGTTTAACATGGTATTATTGGGTTGGCAACTAAGTGATTACGGATTTTGTCAGTACCACCTAATGACAACATCCGCAATCACTTAGTTGCCAACCCAATAGTTCTCGTAAAGAGTAGTCCACTGTATAGTTTTGCCTTGTCGCTGGCTTGATACGGACTCCCGAATTGAATTATAACGACGAAATCCGCCGCTGTTGGTGCTAATCGACGAAAGTGTATGTTCATTTTCGCGATAGCTCTCGAAGAGGAGAATAAAAATCACGGAGCAATTGTTTTTAACGCTCTTTCGCTATCATTTCGATGAAATTTGTACAGGGACGAGCAGCTGACAATTTCAACACCTGTTTGCGTATCAATTGCTCGCATCCGCAGCTCGCGTGGCATCGATCATTTTGCGGCGCGGAGTCACATAAAAAAACCAGTCAGTTTTTAAATTGGATCGGCGGAAATAACGAAAAGAAGATGGACGAAAACTATTCTCTTTCCCACTTTTCGTTCGCCCCTGAATTTCTTCATATATTTATTTGTTTGATATATTTCTTCTTCCATAATTTTTATTATTCTACGTCTATTTATTTCTTCCTTTATTTTTCTCTATTAGAATTATTCTATTTCTATATTTTATATCTTCTTCATAATTTCTTTCGCGAATAAAAATTCTTCTCAAAATAATTGAACGAATAAACAATAAATCATAAAAATAACATGTTTATGAAATGCAATGTTAGATTTAATGTTCGATTCACGTTTCCGCAAGCCTTCGCGCCACTTCTCCCAAATTCATGTCTACTTTCTCTTTACTGAAACGAAGAAGAAGAGAAAGAAGAAAACGGGAAACATCGTAAAGATCGTAAAACTAAATATTGATGAAAAAAGGAAATTCCACGTGTAACTGTGCGGTGAAAGAGGAAAAATAAAATGCATAGCTTTCACTGTCATCAACGACTAATTCTGCCACTGATTCCGGCTCAATTTTAATTAATTAACGGTGCGCCGAAAACACGAGGCTGAAAGCTGATAGAGAGAAGCCGAGGCGACGAGGAAATGTTGGAATTCTGCAAACAGGCTTTTCACTTTAAAAATGTGTACACTCACGAGGGAAAATGTTGACGATGTGGAAAACAGAAGCAGAAGAGCGAGAGAGACAGACAGAGAGGGGCAAGTAAAAACTGTGTGATGGCAAAAGTGGTTGCCGCGCTGCTAATTTAAAGTGAGCGCAACGGGACGCGCGAAAAATAATTAAAGCGAATCTCGCAAACGACCGATCCCTCGGGATCAACACACGAAAGGAGCGTCGAGTTAATCCTTCGTCAATTTGCTCGTCAAAAGGACGAGTTAAAGGATGAAGTTCCAAGACTGATTAGAGAGGAGACAGAGTACGAAATATCCTCCTTTTTTCCTTCTGTCTTTTTGTTTTAATAGAATGATCTTGATTTGAATATTTGAATTGTGGTATAACGTATACTTGCCAAGAGTTTCGAATTTTTATATTCCAATACTTCTTTTCATCTTGACAAATAAGAGGAATTTTAGCGAGACACGACTGTCATCGTATCGGTTCGAAGAAAACCGACAACAAATTCTTCTCGTTTTCTTTAAACACGGGGGATACTTTTTTTTTGTTATTATTATTTAATTCGTACTTTGCAATTTATCCAGCTGGACATTTGGTAAATTTATCTAACTTAGTTGCTAAATAACATGTGGATTAAATTAAAATTTAAAAAAATTCTACTGGCTCATTGGCAGACGTTGCAACTTAAGCGTGCAGAGTAAAATAATGTAGTATCGTATACAAAAGGCCTAAGAGATATCGGATGAACCATAAACGATTTCTTTTTTATTTGGTAGAATTTTTACAATCAATTTTCATTGAGAATTATAAGTAAATTAAACTATAAACAATGTCGCGAGAAAGCCGAAGTATATCGTATATCGGTCCTTCAATCGAATAGTTTCGTCGAAAAGGCCTACGTGACTCTGGCCACGAGCGGTTGCGGAACACGTGCGTGGTGGGGCTAAGACAAAGGACAAAGGGACGCTAAGGGAGAAAGACGAATTAACAGTCAGTATTAGTTGAGCAGTCAGAGAGTGCGAATTGCGTTGTCGAGAGTGTTGCTAGCGTTGTCGAGAGAATGTGGTCCGCGTGAGAGAGAGCGTTTGATTCGTGGTACGTTGTTGTATTTAGTTCACGTTAAACAACCATCTTTTCCTGTTTAATCAGCATCTGCACAATCCATTATTATTAATAGACTAATTGTAGTATAAGATCCTACAATAATGCTATATAAAGCCATATTAAAACCTGTTTGAACCTATGGGATCCAACTATGGGGAACAGCGAGTAATTCCAACATAGAAATTTTTCGACGATTCCAATAAAAAATTCTAAGATCCTTAATAGACGCACCTTGGTATGTTACCAACGAAACGGTACATCGCGATCTTAAGATACCTACAGTTAAAGAAGAAATATTCAAATTCAGTAATATATATAACATAAGAATTAACAATCACCAAAACCCACTAGTTATTCAGTTACTTGACACGACGGATCAGATCCGCAGGCTAAAAAGACATTGCCCTCTAGATTTAAATATTAGATTCAGCTAGAACCAAACATACGATAATCATTTATTATTCACGTTATAGTACCACGCCAGAATAATTGATTTATAATTCTCAATGAGAATTGATTGTAAACTAATTCCAAATAAAAAAAAACATGTGGATGGCTACGCCCAGCGGGATGTCATCTTCGAGTTTGACTATTTTATTTCTTTAGTGAGGTCAGTGGGGGTGTTCTCTTTTTAGTCTTCTTTCTATAAGAGTTTTGCTCGCTTCAGCAGCTAACTGATTTGCATGTGTTGCAGTTCTTTCCTTGTATTTTTCTGCGTACCTGCCGATTTCTTTTTTGACCGTTGGTATTTTTAAGTCTTTTGCGTATATCCTCGTTTCTCACATACCAGGGGGCGTTCACTATTGTTCTCAGTATCTTCGATTGTAGCGACTCTAGTTTATTTATGTGGCTCGTTGCTGCTGTCCCCCATAACGGTATTCCGTACGTCCAAATTGGTTTTATTACCGTTTCGTAGATTTTTAGTTTATTTTCTATGCTGAGTTTAGAATTTCGACTAGTTAGCCAGTACATTTGTCTTCTTTTTACTCGTATTTTATCTATAATTGATTTAATATGTTGTTTCCATGTAAGTTGTGTGTCTTAGTGGAGTCCTAGGTATTTAATTTGCCTTGTTTGTGTTATGTGCGCGCCATACAATTGGATTTGGTGGTTTTCGTTTTCTTAGTGTAAATATAATACGGTTGCATTTACCGGGCTTTGCTTTTATTTCTTTACCTTGCAGACATTTTTCTACTTTTTCTGATGCGCTCTTGTAGTAATGTGACTGCTGTTTCTGGATTAGTATGGGTGACTAGTACAGCCGTGTCGTCCGCGAATGTCAGTATTTCGCTGTTAGTAGTCGTTGGTGTGTCGACCGTGTATAGTGTGTATAATATTGGTCAACCATTTGCATTATGGCCCTACTTAAGGAGACATTTGAAGGCATTAGCGGCGTTTAACTGAATGGTCCCTATCACCACGCGCGGTCGGTCGTAAGTAATAATCGCGTAATAATCCGCGCTTAGCGATAAAAGGCAGTCGCAGCGCGCGGATTAATCCGCGCTTGAACGCAAATGGGTTAAGACGCTTCCTTGCGGTAGCCCTACCTTGATGTCTTTTACCTCAGAATATTCATCCTTTATCTTTACTACAAAGGTTCTGTTGCTTAGGTATGATTTGAGTAACTGGTGGATTTGTTCCGGAAAGTGTTTCTTCATTGTTTGTAACAGACTTTCATGGTTCACTAATTATTTTTTAACGTGGAAAAGATACAATTGGATCGCGGGAATTTGGCACGCGTGATGTTCGTATATATTGTTTGTCGCTATATTTAGCTATAAATCCTGATAAACGCTACCGGTTTCTTTCTACATCCATTTATACTACTTTGCCCGTACTACGTCTATCTATACTACTTGTTCCCTCATACGCTCCTTTATACTACTTACACTGGATCATGAGAGTATTTGGGCACGAGACCTTGAAAGATCGTCTCACTGAAGATACGAAGGCTCGTTGATGCAATGAACAATTGGCAGTTTAAATACGTTTATGATCTTTGTAAAATCTACGTATAATCTCCATAGTAACATCGAATGTTTTGTAGTTTCTGCGTGCATTTTCAGGTTCGTTCGTCTGGAATTTCAACATCTCGATCATAACAATTAAGCCTCGTTCTAGTGGCAATGAAATTTTTTAATGTTTCATATAACACGCGTTATATATCCGCGAAGAAACTGTCTATAAATATTCAAATACCTTCGTGAACAGCTGTATTCATTAATTCCTAAGACGATATACCATCAAGTATTGATTGCTTTTGTTAGTTCTACGAGTTCACGCCGGTCCAACTATTTTTCTTTTTTTTTTTTTTCTTACGAACTACAATTTTTCTTTATTTATCTGATTTGTACTTTACAATTTGTCCAGCTGGACATTTGCTAAATTTTTCTAACTTTATTGCTAAATAACGTGTGGATACCATCTTCGAGTTTGTATGTTTTATTTCTTTAGTGAGGTCCATGGAGTGTTTTTTTTTTAGTCTTCTTTTTATTTCATTTCCTTGTATTTTGTTGCTTATCTGCCGATTTCTTCTTTGACATATTTTTAGGTCTTGCGTATGTCCTATGTTGCGTGTTTCTGACATACCATGGCGCGTTGACTATGGTTCTGAGTATTTTCAATTGTAGTTTATGTGATTCATTGCTGCTGCCCCCCATATGATGACATTCTGTGCGTCCAAATTGCTTTTTTTATCGTCTTGTATATTTTTCATCCATTTTCTATGCTGAGTTTAGAATTTCTACTAGTCAACCAGTACATTTGTTTTCTTCCTATCCGTATTTTCTCTACAATTAATCTACTATGTTGCTTCCACGTAAGTTGTGTGTCTAAGTGATGTCATAGGTAAGTGCAGCTATCTACGCGTGTATTAACACTTTACCGACCGATAGTCGATTAGTCGGTTTTTTGTCGCCGTCGCTTACCGACCGATAGCTAATTAACCGGCTTTTTGTCGCCGACAATCTTTCTCGTTATTTGAACCGTAATTTGTTATTTAGTATTAAGGTACCTTGCTCAGTTGCGTCCGTTGCGTTGCTTTGTAAACTCCCACAGTTTTATACCAATTTGAAAAACTTATTGTTCGTGTAGAACGAAAAGAATGGTATCGGAGAGTCTAAACCGAAACAGAGCCAGCGCCAGGGAGAATCTGCGCTTGAGCTGCCGGTCGGACGTGCGTATGCTGTTGAACCGCTAGCGGTCGGTAAAGTGTTAAGTTGTCCAAAAAGTTTCTTCCTTCGTTCTACAAGAAAATGACAGATGCATGACATTTCTCGTTTTACATTATTTTCTTCTATCGCTATAAAATGCATCACACATAATTCAGAAAGGTAATATCAAACGAAAAATGTGGTGTATCTGTTATTTCCTTGTAAAAGAAAAGAAACTGTTTGGACAAGCTAATATTTACGAGCGACAATTTATGCCACGAAGAGAAAGGCAATTCGCAAGGGAAGCTGCAAACACAGGGCACAGGGTAACAAGGTCAAAGCATCTCTTGACGAAGATGCACACCTTTACGGATATTCCCCTGGCCAATTACGAGGGTAGCTCTCCCTCTGCATCCCTTGCAATGAGATAACGTGCTAAGACAGCGAGAGAGAGAGAGAGGATGGTGGCGATTGGCTGCGCGATCGATGGTCGGTCAAGGGCCATAAGATAAGAATCCACCGATCGTGTCCACCAGGAACTTGCTCTGAAGAAATGGAAATTTCAAACTCGTTGCTTAGTCTTTGATTTAACTTGAATAGGCGGCTTATCCTTCAGGCGGATTCCCAATTTCGATGGAACGTCATAACTAGATTGAATTCTCGCGCAATTTTATATTTTCATTATGTGCAGCTAACGAAATGGGATGATGAACGCGAACACTTATTTTACCTATTTTTTTATTATTTAATTCGTACTTTACAATTTGTCCAGCTGGACATTTGGTGAATTTTTCTAAATTTTACCTATGACGTGTTACAACAAACACTTTTTATTATTTAATTTGTGCTTTACAATTTGTCCAGCTGGACATTTGGTAAATTTTTCTAAATTTTCTTATGACGCGTTATAACAAATACTTCATTTTCAATATGTATTTATGTGTATACGTAGTAGATTTGAGAAAGGAAACATGGAAACAGTTGGAAATGTAGCAACATAGAATGATCAACAATGAGAAAGCTCGCTGTATATTAGATGTGATAAGCCAGTAATATACTGTTCAAATGAAATTGAAAACACCGAGACGTTGTGAACGCAAATCGAAAGAATCGACAATTTATATGTATTAAAATTGGAAAAGCTTGCGTTAGTTGCGACAAACTGCGGATATTCCTGCTGGCAAACGACTTGCTTTTTATCCGTTGCAAAACCGTTACTCCATAAACTGTGTCGGCATTGTGGAGAAATCATGGACAAAGCAAATCCCTTAAATCATCGCGGTTTTAGAGGAACAGCCGAGAATAACCTCTGTGAAACCAGGACATCGAAACAATGGAGGCTGAAAGCTCGTGGCTCGATAATTCATTAGGCAATCCGGAGGAACGCACGAGAAAAGTGGCGGCTTGTTTGGAGGGATGATTGCATCGGCTCTCCCTTGGGTGAAATAAACGATGACAGAGAGAGAGAGGGAGAGAGGGAGGGAGAGACGATAGAGTGACGATAGAACCGGCTAGCACGCGTTACTGTGGTTTAGCGGTGCGTTCGAATCGAAATTGCTGTTAACTAATAAACGAAATCGCCCGGTTCTTCGAGTTAACGATGCTGTTCGGATATTCCCTGTGTTGCTTCGTTTGTTTGTCTTCGTTTGTGCATGTTTGCGCTCACTTGCGTCTGCTTGCTGCCTTTACTGCGCTACAAATGTTACTTTTGCTAACTATACAGAAATTTTTAGGAAATTTTTTAGGAGATTTTTAGGAAAATCTATATTTTTTAGTAGATTTTTAGAAAAATCTATATTTTTTAGTAGATTTCAATGAGCTTCAAATATGTCACAATGGAGGGCAAAGTTCCTTCCGATTTACATTTCCATTCCATGTACATTTATCGAATTACATAGGTGGCATTTTCTTGCACAATTTTCTCCATCTTTCACGCAACTCGAATGCTCCATCGTTGCAGAACCTC